TTTAATATAATTGTTCTGTATTTCCATATCATGCAGTTCATCCAATTCTGTCGTAAGGACATTTTGAATTAATAAAAATCATAAAGTAAAATTCAACAGTTCCCTTCGAAATCATCCCGTAATTGTTTGTATCCATAATACAATAAAAAGCTAGGGATTATGAATATCAGATCAAAGAAATCAAAAACAATAAAAAAAATATAAAATAAAAGAAACAAAACAATAATAAGTATTAATAACTTTAAAAGAGATAAATATATAATACATAATAAAGGTTGTTTAGCATTTACTTAGTGGGTGGCATTTCATTTTATAATTGTTCTGTATTTATATCATGCAGTTCCTCCAATTCTGTCGTAAGGACATTTTGAATTAATAAATAAAATTCAACACAGTTCCCTTCGAAATCCTCCCGTAATTGTTTGTATCCATAATACAATAACTATTTGTTAAGTTCGTCAACATATTTATCTCTTATACTGTATTATCATGTACATTGAAATACAAAATGACCAGTGCTTTCGATGCTATTGTTATTACATAATTTGCAGTAACTGAATGCTTTAATCATTCATATGCACAAATCCACCTTTCCAAAATTCAATACTTGTTTACCGCCCTCTATCGATTCCCGGAAGTTTATGCAATTTTTAGTTTACGCCATATTTCATATTTAGCTTGTTGCTAATGATAGTAAGGAATGATGTCCTTCCTTGTTTTTTCGTCGGTTGTGTTTCTGCAGTATACTATTTACATTTAAACTGATATTCGTCTACTAGTAAGTATGCATTTGTTAACTGAATAATACTGTGATAGGTCTGCAGGCTAGAACATAGGCCAACTAAAAATAAAATCTATCTAGGCCTAGGCTAGCCTAAGGAATTCGATCCAACTCGGCCACAAGTCAACTCGGCCACAGTCAACTCAGCCACAAGTCAACTCGGCCACAAATCAACTCGGCCACAAAAAGTTCGTCTGCAGTCAACTCGGCCACAAGTCAACTCGGCCACAATAATTATTATTGCTGTTATTATTGGTGTCATTGTTATTATTATTGTTGTTTTTATAGTCTTAGCATTAACATTATGTATTGTTTAAATTTTTGCTGATATTATTATTGTTACCATATAAATAATACAAAATTCTCGATTTTTTTTATTCATATTATTATTATATATTAGTTTAATATTATTATTTTAATAATAGTAATTTTTAAAATATTGTTATTGGTGTTTTATTGGTGTATTTCTCATTTCTCATTATTATTATTATTATTTAATTATTATTATTGTTGTCACCTTTATTATCGATATTATTACCCTATTATTACTAAGTAGGCATAGTATTATAAGTATCATAATTATTATTATTACTAATTAGTATTACTATTATTATAAAAATAAACGTTATGTTTAATTTATTATTGCTGTTATTATTGCTATTATCACCTTCAATGTTATTATCACTAATTACTATTATTAAAATAGATATTTAAATATTGTTATTATTACAATATTATTACTATTAGTATTGTTAAAATAAATATTACTATAATATTGTTGTTGTTATCACCTTTATTATCGTTATTATGATTAATTAGTATTATTAAAATATAATATTTGAAAAATACCGACATGTCACTGGTGATTCACGTCATTGGATGCATCCTTGTCACTGACGGGTTTCAAACATAGCCCCCAATGGTTGAACAAATATGAAGGACTGAAGTCTGTCACTCAACAATACCAATTGTTCCTATTGTGGATAATTGATACTAGATGCTGCACCCCACCTAATTTTAATGTAGGCCTAATTCTTGGGCGTGGTTCTGAAGAAAATAGTATCGAAATGCACGCCATCGTGCATTCATTTGATTAGGTCTACAGTATCTCATGTTTTATGCCAGTGTTTTAACGTGAACAAAATTAAACATTAATATATGTGTTTTTCTTAATTATTAAGATTGCTTAAATTGTTAATGTTACAATTGTCAGATTTTATTCCATTCTGTAAGTGGTGGGTTTTCTCTATTGAATAAGATTACAGTGTGAAGAAATGTATACAACGATCTCACGACGATGTGACGATGATCAGAATTTTACTAAAATATACTGTGTACTTCATTTTAATCATATTGAAGAAAAAGGATGCAGAAACTGTAGTATTTACATTTCATTTTAATTATAAATAACTTGTGGCCGAGTTGACTTGTGGCCGAGTTAACTTGTGGCCGAGTTGACTTGTGGCCGAGTTGACTGCAGCCGAACTTTTTGTGGCCAAGTTGATTTGTGGCCAAGTTGACTTGTGGCCGAGTTGACTGTGGCCGAGTTGACTTGTGGCCGAGTTGACCTGCTTCCAGCTCAAGGCCTAGCTAGGGATCGGGAAAGAAAGGATAGTTTTAGGCCTCTCTAGTCTTGCTTTTAAAGCTGCTTTGAAGCAGTTCACCCACCAGAGGGAGCCAGTTTAACATCCTCGAAGAGAGAATTTTAAATGAAAACAAATCTTATCTACATCGAAGGGACTTTACGAGTTTACGAGTCTTAAACAGTTTACTAGCTTGGCCTGGCCCTAGGAATAGGCCTTTTTTCACGAATCGGTAGACATATTGAAGTGATGACAAACATTGCGAATCAGCGGTGTGTAACCAACAGAAATAAGATAAGCTTTTGGGCTGATTTTCTGACATCATGTTATTTAAAAAATCATAACTCCATAACGGGGCGTCGTATTCAAAACATTTTCCCAGCAAAATGTTCTTAAAAGACAAGTCTATACCACTATATGATTGAAAAAAATTGAAAAATGTGTTTGACCTCTGAAATCAAGATGGAAAAAGAAAAGCCTACAGTATCTTAGTAGTGTATTAAAATAGGCCTATGCATTACAGTGCAGTAGCATAGGACTTTCGTGTTGTTACTGTTCCAAGTAGCGATAATATACAGATTTCTCTTATTATAAAGTACAAGTTATGTTTTATAAAGAGGTATAGCATAGTAAATCATGTTTTTAACACAGGAAACTCTCATATGGTAACTAAAACAATGCTAGAGTTCAGAGTATTACTAGTACTACTGCATTGTAATGCATATACCTATTTTAATACACTACTTTTCAATTCTTTTCCCATCGTACAAGTAAGAGCAAGTCAAGTAAGAGTTGCTAGTCAAATAAAATTCAAGATACTATAATAAAATTAGGTCAAAGGAAAGTAAACTGATATAAAATCATATATGTTAAAATTATTTACGATTTAATTTCATTACTTATTGATTTTGTTAGCCAAGAAAGAAAAGATGATAAATAAAATATTTATGACTTTACAGGAATAAACCTTACCAGTAACACAAAAAGTGAGCCAAGATGTGATGATACAATTCATCTAAGAGCTGAAGAGAAAGGCAACTGAAATCAGAGTGTTGGGGGGGGGGGACATTTTAGTATTAAAAAAACTTACCTGGTAAGTAGAATTTTTAAGATTGTAATGCTCCTGCCAATGTAAGGGGCAACTGAGTAGTAATCGAGAATTGACTATGCAGCCCACTTCAGCTGGTTTGTAATTTGTTTATGTTATTGATATTCTAAATATTCAGATATTTAAAAAAAATATTGGATATTAATCTACTGCCATCAAAGAACTTTCAGTATTTTGGCTTTTTAAAACAGATGTTGAGACTTCCACGGGTTGTTAAAGAATCAGTGGTTTTAATACATGAGTTGTAATAATGAAATTTAGTAAATGAAATGGTGTCACATGATATCCGGTAATCAGTACAGTATAAGCATTTTCTTGTAAAATATCTAAATTGGTGAAAACAAAACAAATTATTTGAATTTTTGATTTATTATTTATTATTCTTTTGACTGATAGTACATCTTTAAATGTATTAGTATTTTACTCTGAGGTTTTTAAATAAACTGCTTTGACTAAAAAGTAAAAACATTGGTGAAACACAGTAAATATTTTAAATATTTAATTAAAATGATGGTAATACAGTTATATAAAGAATATTAAGAACATCTTCATTTCTATTGAATCTGTTTTAGTGTGAAAGCTTGTGCATCCCAACAGTTTGAGTGAATTATTGTATAAATTGCTGTGAGAAGTAGATCACAAAGGAAGAATGGAGGAAACAGGTAAAATACTGTTTATAAAGTAATTGTTGTTGGCATTGTTGTGTGTAACTATTTCAAAGGACTTCACATTGCCCTGATCATTGGTAATAATCTTACCTGTATGTACTGTACATGCACATCCTACATTGACTCTTGGAAGGTAAAGTAAATAAATATTTACAGTGAATTTCAAAGTGTATATAGTTAAAGTGACTGTCTTGTCTATTTTATCTTCCGAAATTAACATATTATTTAATGATATAAAACAACACAAATGTAGGAAAAATTGCCCATGATTACGGTAGGTTACTTGAAAATGACTAATTAATTAAACTAACAAAACCTGGATATTTTCAGCTTTATTCAATGTTGGTGTACTTCATCTAAACCAACTGAATTATACACATTAAGTTTACTCTGTTACAGTAGACATTTTGGCTTGTTATACACTTTCTTCCACAAAAAATCTTTAATGCAATTATTTTAAAATAAATTAGAATTTGTTTAGGATTCTAAACATGTATTGATTAATTCCATTGTTTAATCTTCAATTTAGTTTTTATCTTCTTTGCTGTCTATTTTCACTTCTACAATGATGATTTTAATGATTATAATGGATGATTAATGATGATGTTTATCAAATACACATTTTCCATTGTAGATTAAAATTTTCCTGAATTGTGTATTTCTATTATTGATGATAGTCAATTTATTTCTGCTTGTATCATAGGACTTTCAAAAAGAGATTTCAGCCAGCTGTTGCTGGATTTTTCAAGTTGGTATGATGGACTTGGATACATCAATATGCTAAAAGTTTTGTACAACAATAGAGATCACGTGCCAATTTATAATAAGTTAAATGAGGCTACTAAGGTGATGCCCTTGCTAAGTATGTTAATTGGTTCTGGGAGTTTGAGTCTAACAAATCTCACTATCCTTTATGACACATTAAAAGCTACTGGACAATTTGGCTTCAAATCTAGAATTGTACTTTCAACTTTACAAACAATCAAGGAACATGAAGTGTCTAAATTCTCATGGTACAGACAGTTCCTCTTGAAGCTAGGAATGACACTAACTGATGATGATATAGTAGTGCTTGATTTACGATATAACATGCCAGTGTTAAAGAATTATAAAGATAGCTGGCATTTGATTCTGGATCTAGAGCAAAGGAATGAGCTTTGTGAAGAAAAAATTGATGATTTCATTGAAGGATTACCAAGTGACAAAGCTCTGAAAGCTTTACTGGAACTTGAAGGTACAGAGCTATGTTTGTTAATGGAGAAGTTTACCAATTTTTTATTTTAGACAGTTTTATGTACACAACACAAGACTAATTTTAAAATTTAGTTTTTGCCTCTTGTGTTTTACCTGCAAGATTAAAAGTACTCTAATATTTCACATTTCATTCTCCAGTGATGGTCTACTTTTTTAATCATGCTTAATCTAGGAACCCTCTTTATATTTTATCTATCATTTCATCCAACATTTAGAGCCAGCACTGTGCAAGTGTACGCTCAGGTAGGTTTAATTCTGAAGTTGTCATTGTCATATTGTTCAATTAATTGTAGTGTCATAATTTTTTGTGTGCATTTTTTTCTCAGTGTACAAGAGAGCAGTCAGTAAGCAAGAGGGTGAAACATACACATCTTACTACAACCGTTTGAAAGAGAATATTAGACAGTCAAACATGCATATAAGAAAGGAAGTTAGTGGTGATGGGAACTGTTTTTTATACTGCATCCAAGATCAATTTGAGAGGCTGGGTTTACCAAATCGATCTAGTGCACAACTCAGGGCTGATTTAGTGGACTACTTGCGACATTTGGTAATTGTGTAGATTATTCCATAGTATTATCATTATACTTGCATGGTATTATCCAAGTGTTATTTGATACATTGTGTTTTATTGCATTTAGCAATTTCTAAATTTTTTCCAGGATAAAGAAGATCCATTGATCGCCCTTACAGATGACAAATATCTAGATGAATTGAGTAAAGATGGTACTTTTGTTGACGAGACAGCCATACGAGGGATATCACGAATATTAAATCACAACTTTCAAATAGTGACCAGTCAAAGAAAAAGCACAGAGCAGGGCTACATGGTCACAAAAATTCAGGAAAGTTCAAACCCAGATGGTGTAATGTTATTTGGTCAAATTGGAGAGCTACACTATATAAGCTTAGGTAAAGGATACTGTAGTAGCACAGGGGCACCACACACACATATACACACATGCATACAAGCCCACACAAACATACATGCCCACATATACATACTATGCCCACATACATACAGGTACACCTAAGGTGTAAAAATGGGCAGTTACGCCCCTTTTTCCCCCAGTTTTTAAATATTAAAAAATCTGTATCTCATTCACCGTTCCCCAGTTTTTCGTCAAACAACTTTTTTTTGTCTTAGAAAAATCATTTCTACAACATATCAAAAAATTGTTTTCCTCCGGAGCCTGACTCTTCATTATATTTCTCTTTGTGTTAATAATTGAAACTTATTCAATTAATTTGGGAGGTTCTAGAAAAAATAAGTTTATTTTTGGTTGCATTTTATATAATTTATAATAATTCATGTGACAATACAAAAAATGTGAACATGAGTGCAACCTTTGCTGTTTTACAACTAACAGTACTATAGCACAACTCTTTAAAAATTGTTATTTGGTGTAATTATTTTTTATAAATTTACTTGATATTCGTAATTGTTTCTTTCACTTAATTGGGCAATATTTCATTCATTTATTTTATTTATTTCGTCCAATTTTAAAAACATGTACAACAAAAACATATACAAAACAAAACACCCTTGACAGAGACGGGATTAAACAAAAGCAAACTTAATTGCTGTACAAATTTTGTGGTTTTTTGCAACAGGTTGGGCAATAGAATGAACAATTTTGTTTTAATATTATAGAAAATCTGAAACAATTTTCACTTTCTATATCTAGGTGATGAAGTTGGATCACAAGTATCAGCAAGGCAAAACTTAGATTGCCCAAGTAAGCAAGGTATGTATATGAAATTATTTTTGCCTGATTTCATTTCATTTAAGTGGAATAAACCAAATTACTCTGGTTCAATGGTGCTGCTAATACCAAACCTCTGGAGTATAAAAAAATAACAATATGCAAATGTGACCTTCGGAACGTGTATTGAGTACGAAATAGAGAGTGGGAGAGCAAACTCATAAAACGCATATAAGGCACCCGGACACAGAAATCCAATTATTGTCATGATTGTGTTTATTTATAAATCTAACATCAAATCAATGCTTCACCATCATAAAAGAAGGTGAAACCCAACACAACACTGCAGCTATTGCCGCAACGAGACAGGAACAAGACAGCTTACATCTGCATTACAAGCAACGATGAAAATAACACTATTTAAAGCAATGAACATCAGACAATTAACATATCACGTCTTGACAGTTTAACTGGTCCAGAGAGAGAGAAAGAGGGCAAGCATACCAAACCCTAGCATTCTCCGACACAGTTCGCAAAAGGAATTAATCCGCTCAGCGTAAAAATAGTAAATCAAACGTTATAAATCTAAATAATTAATAATTAAGTATAATCAATATTTTCATAAATGAAATATGGCAAAAAATCGAGTTTACTGTACAGCAAATATAGCTTGCACTAGTTCTGTGGTGGAAGGATATCATGGTAGTGCTATAACATAGCTTATCTATAATTAGTTAAACAGATGGCATGTACAAACTACACCCTCACACAAATAATAGAATACAATGTAATGGTTTTAAATGTTTGTTGATTGTTGACTCTAAAATTTGTTTTTAACTTTTAACTAAGAATGCAAAGGAATGTTAATAGCCCTGGTTTCAATTAGCGCAGGAAATATTGGTGCATTGCGACATTAAGTAGGGTTGAGTGGTTAATACCCAATGCTTAGGGATTTTACACTGGTGCAACGCAAACAGTGTTGAGAAATTGTTGTTGTCCCTTACAGGGTTGTAGCTGTAGAAAACTAAGGGTTGGTGATAGACATTTTAAGGGTGGGTGGATGATAACATTGGTAAACTTTAAATAATAAGAGTTGATTTTAAGGATGGAAAAGTGGGTTAATAAGGGTGGGTGGAAGGCCATGAAATTAGCTTTAGACTGGGTGAAAAACTCTAAGGCAGGGTGGCTCAGCCCACTTCCACCCACCATAACTACATCCATACCCTTAACATTGGATGGCAGTTATCAAGTACCAAGTACTAAAACATTAATAGGCTATGCTTACTCTGTAGAATTCTCTGTAGAATTCTCTGTAGAAAGTCCTGTCTTGTGCTTTTAATTCATTTGAAATCCAAACATTAAAATTATTGTTGTAAATCTAGAAATATGTACTATGTTTTCAATTGTAGTTGCAGTTCTGCAACAGTCAGTTAATAATTAAATAAAAATCTGACTTGACTTAACTACATTTTCTATAAGGATTATCCTTACAAGTGTGTTACTGGTTTCTGACATTCTAAGCTATTCTCCAAATTGGAAAAAAAAGTATTGTTTTGTGCTAATTTATGCTGTACTGTATTTATTTTGCTAATGTACAAATTCAATTTCTGTTTCCTCAATAGGTTATGGAGAAGCATCAACATCAAAAAAACCAAAGTTATACAAAGGTATGTACTTGGTGCTGAATACTTGCTTAATATTTTGTTAAACAATTGTTGGTGGGTCAAAAGCATTTAAGGTAGAGTTATTCTATAACTTGCAGCCATAATATTGGTGCTAGTTTTGGAGTGCTTGCCTGTTGTTCTGGTGGTGGAACCATAGACGCTTGTACACAATACTCGTGTGCAGTACGTCATTCAAGGTGGGTAGGCGGGTTACCTGGTCCATACAGCCCTTGTGATGGACACACAAGATTAATGGCTTTTAGAACTACAGACGGAAATATCATGTCGGCCATTTTTATGTTTGAAAACAGAACCTAGTCGAGGTAAGGCTAGTCATAATGCTTGCTAAACTAATGTTTTTGGTGCCTACTATATTCACCGATAGAGCCTATCACAATGTCATTTCATTTATTGTATTCATTATTATTTATTTTTTAACCATATTTATGGAGGGTGGCTCTTCCATTGTATCCTAGAAGGTCGGCTGATATTCAGGGGCCTTTTTAAATAAATGAATTACTTGATGCTTTTATCAGTGATGTCTCTTTATGAAGCTTAGAGAGTGCAGTTGTTTTTAGTCGTGCTGTCACAGGATTTGAACCCAGGACCTCGGATTTGAAAGGCAAACATATTAACCACAAAGCTATTCAACTCTGTCCACAAAAAAGAAATTCAAATTTGGGCCTTATTTTGCATTTTTTCATGTTTAGGAAGCAACTAAAATTCAGTTAAACTAGCAATTTTATATTATAGTTATAAATCTTTCTAACATGTATATCAAAATCATATTTTTCTTAAAAAATAAAATTTTGCCAGGACTTGGGCTTTAATAAACTGGTTATTATGTTAATGCAATTTAACTCAAGTTGCCACATTTGTGTTTTCTTAAACATGTCAAGTTAGGTTGAATGTAAATTCACTGTGAAATGCATAGAAAATCCTCGTCCTCATCTTGTAAAATATAGCCAATAATGTTCCACCGGTCTTTACAGGTGAGTTCTATATAAAACTGCTCTTTACCCTCAGCCGTGTCATTGTGGCCTGAGTTTGAGTCTTTGTACTGCCAATTTTTTTAATGTAATTTTATTTCTACTTCATAATATCAAACAACAGGTAGTACATATTATTATTGTTGTTACTGTTATTATTATTTATGATAAGCTTTTAAACAAAAAGTAGAGGTATTTTTAAACCCTGTAAAATTGCAGTTATTGTTTTGTTCTCTTACAGGAAAATCAAAACGACCAAGAAAAAATCTTATATTTGATGAAGGTTTGTAGTTAATAATGAAATAATGAATATATGTTGATTTACATATAATACAAGTGTAAGTGCACTAATTGTTTACATTATGTGGAGAAAAACAGCGACTGTATCAAAATATTTGAATGAAAATCAATTTTACATTGACTTTGAATTTGAAACCAGGGCTATTGATTACCATTACTAAAGGCTCCATGTATACTTCCTTGGATTTTCCTATTAGGTCATCACAAGAGTAGTTTATGTACACAAGTGCATAAACGCATGTTAAATTGCTGTCCTACTCAACAAAAACTATGGACTGTACCTGATAAACTCAAAATGACTATTGCACACTATTGTTTTGCTGTATAATGCCAAGTGGGTTATTCTCTTTGCAGACAAGTCAGGAAGATCAAAACTGCCGAAAAAGTTGAGGTTGGATGAAGGTGTGTAATATATTTAATATAACATTTATTAGCATTATATTGACAAGTAATTGTCAATTATTAGCATTTTATTGACATTTCAATACTAATACATCCTAATAAAACTAAATTTACAGACAAGTTGTAGAGTAGTTACATATTGCACACTAGAGAGTAGTTAAGTCACAAGGTTCACAATATGGATATAAATGTGGATGAGGTGTATAAATTTATTCCCATATCAAATTTGATATTAACATTAACAATCAAATTAACAAATTCTGCCAGGGGCACTGAAGGCCTCCACCCAGGTATCTGTTACATGAAAGCATATTTTTAAAAATTAAGATATTGTTTGTCTAGTCAACAATTAGCTCTACAATACAATATTTATTGGATTCACTTTTGCATCAGTTAAACACTTAACTTGATGTTCAACATAATTACAGTATATAGACCTAATTAAATGAGATACAATTAAATAAAATACTGTAAAATAAAACAAAAGTTTATGCAGGTCACCTAGTTATACAAAAGAAAAGGAAATATAATAACAAAAATTACAGTGGACGCCAACGACTGGCGCTGTGTATGCCTAGTCTTTGTTTATAAAGTGTCTTTTTCACTCTCTGTTGGATAATAATAATAATGTTTATTTGGACTCACTTTTACAGCAGCGGCACACTTGCACATTTGATTACATGACATCAAATTAAATAAGATCCAAAGCATTAATAAAAAAGTAAATAAATAAAAAAATAAAAAAAACTAAGAAGTAGTTATTATAAGTTCGATGCTGCATGTCATAAAGAAGAACAAGAATAATTAAAACTTGAGTCCAACTCAAAACAGCTTATATTTATTCCTTATTTATGTTTTACAATATATCTTATCCAAAAACTGGAAAACCCTGAAATTGTTAAAAATTCTGATTTCTATGTTTTAGAAAATTGCGACAAATGTAGGGTTTTGCTGGGCTGGTCACATACTTTACTGTAGATTAACTTTATCCCTTATTTCTTAAAACATTACAAAATACAAATTCACTTCTTCTCTTCTCTCTTCTCTCCCTAACAATGCAAACATTAAATATATGGTTGTGCTTAAAAAAAAAAGAATAAATATTAAGTAATACAATAAAACACAAGTGTAATTAAAATGAATATTTGTTACTACATAACTTAAATCTGAATTATTTCTGTATGAGATAGATAATTGCAAAAATATGTTATTTTTGACTGGTTTCCAGATTTAATTATCAAAGAATTTCTGACAAGAAACCTGAAGCAATTGTATCAGGATGTTAATCAAATGACACCAGCAATCTGGCATAGACATCATAGAGTAAATATTGCTGAAGTATTCACACAACTCATCTTACTGGAATCCAACAGGAAAGACAAAGAAGAACCAAATGAAGACAAATCAACATGTATAAGAAAGGAAGGTAGACCCACATCTTTAACAGAGGTATTAGGTATCATTAAATTAAAGGATTCATGTAAGGTATTAATAACAGGAGAAGGAGGGATGGGCAAGTCTACACTTCTGAAATATATTACTTTTAAATGGGCTACTGATGATGTACATGCCTTTGCTGGTAAATTACTGTTTTTGATCAATATTGGGGACATTAAAGCAAGTACAGATATGTTGGAAATAATTACAAAAAACATAGCTACGAAAGAATTAATTCTTCGGCACAACTTGCCAACTAATTCAGTTGAAAGATTCCTGATCAACAATGCTGATGATATAGTTATTTTGTTAGATGGATATGATGAGTTACACAGAGATGCTAAGGACCCTATATATCTGTTCAAAGGATGTGAATTAGAAAAAAGCACTGTGGTGGTAACATCCCGACCTGACTACACAATTGATTTGGTTAAATGTTGTACTATACATATTGAAGTGAAGGGATTCAGTAAAAGAAACATAAAGGAATATGTTCATGATCATTTTCATTCAATCAACAAATGTGAGTTGGGGGAATTATTAATGAAGGAGTTCAATCTTGTGTCAGAGGATGAATGTGATTGGGGTGGTGATCATAAAGAGGCATTTGAATTGTGCTCTTCCCCACTGTTACTGCTTATGATTTGTACCATATGGGAACAAAAACAACATCTTCCAAAAGACTTGTCAGATCTTTTCATCGAACTGATTTGTTGCATTTTAAGTCAATATAAACGCAAGAGGGATGATAAAATTGCAATTTTCCAAATTGAGAGAGTTCCAGAGCAGTATAGACTTGCCATTCTACTATTAGGAGAATGTATGTATGAAGGCCTAAAGGAAAATAAATTGTCTATTGACAAACATGTTTTATCAAATATGACGAAAAATATGGATTCTGTAGATTTAGCATTTAAACTTGGATTTGTTTATGAAGATAGCCCTTTTTACCCTGGTGATGTGAGGGAGATGTACACACCTCCACACAAATTAATTTCAGAGGCACTAGCAGGTTTTTATTTGTCGAATCAAATTGAGAAAGAACATTTGAAATCTGATGAATATGAGGTGATAAGATCTAATAAATATTTAAATATGACAAGAGTGTTTACAATAGGATTTCTAGGTGCTAAAGCTGGTGGATTGCTTAAACACTGGTTAGTAATCAGGGCTTCACATTTTTGCTCAATAGCACAATGTTTCACACATATAAAGGAGGCAAATGAAGAAGCTGTGCTACAGGAATTGGATAAAAACATGTCCACTGAAATGAAATCCTACTGTAAGCAAATGCGTGAGACATACAGAAGTGTCCTTAAGGATGATAAAAGCGTAGTAAGTGAGCATTTATATAAACTTATGAACATATGTTGCACTATATATGAGGGAAAACTGGTGGAGAAATTTATATCGCTGTTAGATGCATCTAGTGAAGAGACTTTCAGAACATCATGCAGAAGTTTGGTACATATCTTAGTTATTGTAGGAGGACTAAATTTAGGATACTTCAGGTTGAGTACTAAAAACCGTTTATTTGAATATATATCAAATTGGAAAAGTGAAAAACTTAATGTCCTTTCTGCTGAGATGAAATACCTCAAATTGAACTATGGTTACACTGGTGTCTATTTAAAGCATGTATTTAATTCATCATTCTTGATTCATTTGCTGACGTATTCAAGTAACCTCTCTAAATTATATATCACTTCGGGTAAGCTTACTGGGTCTGTACTCAGTGTAGTTATCATTGAGTTACACAAAACTAATGTAAAGTTGAAGTTAAAAGAACTTTGTATTTTTCGCAGTGATCTACATAACATCAATGGAACATTACTAGGAAAACTATTTGAAATAGCTCCTGATCTAAATGTGCTAAATTTAAGCAGTTGTAGTTTATCAGGTGATATTGTGAGGGCAATGATTACAGAATGTCAGTACGGTGGAGTTTCTTTAGGTGGATGCAATCTTATTATTAACAATAATAACATTGATGATGCATTATTGGGCAATTTACTTAAAGTGTTTCCTAATATATCTGGTCTTTATATAGCTTCATGTGGGCTATCGAAGGCAAGTTTTAATAAAATGATCAATGGGTTTCATGGAATTGAATTACGTGTACTCGATTTCAGCCGAAATTTTTTAGGAAATTTAGATGGAAAAACGTTTGGAACCTTATTGAAAATGCTTCCCAAACTTTGTTATTTTAACATGAGTTGTTGCAGTTTATCAGGCAGTATTGTTAATGAAATGATGGAGGAATGTGGTAGGATGAATGTAGTATTGAAAGACAACTTGCTTCAACTGGAGGACAATGACCTTTCAGATATTGATGGTAAGTCACTTGCAGAGTTAATCAAAGCTTTTTTCCTTGATCTTGAAGGTATTTTCAATTGGCGTAATCATTGTCTTACAGCTGATAACCTACAAAATCTGATTGAATCAGTAAGTGTTGTAAATAAAACATTGACTTGGCATTGGATAGATTTGAGTAATATTAACCTGTCTTCGATCAGTGGTAAAACATTAGCTTGCCTTGTTAAGATCTCTCCAGACCTGATCCATATTAACATCAGTTATTGCAGTTTATCAGGCAGTATTGTTAATGAAATGATGGAGGAATGTGATAGGATGAATGTAGTATTGAAAGACAACTTGCTTCAACTGGAGGGCAATGACCTTTCAGATATTGATTGTAAGTCACTTGCAGAGTTAAGCAGGGCATACGCTGTACCTTTTCACTTTGATCCTGAAGGTAATTTTAATTGGCGTAATCATTCTCTTACAGCTGATAAACTACAAAATCTGATTGAATCAGTAAGTGTTGTAAATAAAACATTGACTTGGCATTGGATAGATTTGAGTAATATTAACCTCTCTTCGATCAGTGGTAAAACATTAGCTTGCCTTATTAAGATCTCTCCAGACCTGATCCGTATTGACATGAGACATTGCAGTTTATCAGGCAGTATTGTTAATGAAATGATGGAGGAATGTGATAGGATGAATGTAGTATTGAAAGACAAATCGCTTCAACTGGAGGGCAATGACCTTTCAGATATTGATGGTAAGTCACTTGCAGAGTTAATCAAGTCATACTCTGTACCTTTTCACCTTTATCCTGAAGGTAATTTTAATTGGCGTAATCATTCTCTTACAGCTGATAACCTACAAAATCTGATTGAATCAGTAAGTGTTGTAAATAAAACATTGACTTGGCATTGGATAGATTTGAGTAATATTAACCTGTCTTCGATCAGTGGTAAAACATTAGCTTGCCTTATTAAGATCTCTCCAGACCTGATCTGTATTGACATGAGTCATTGCAGTTTATCAGGCAGTATTGTTAATGAAATGATGGAGGAATGTGATAGGATGAATGTAGTATTGAAAGACAACTCGCTTCAACTGGAGGGCAATGACCTTTCAGATATTGATGGTAAGTCACTTGCAGAGTTCATCAGGGCATACGTGGTACATTTTTTCCTTAGTCATGAAGTTACTTTCCAATGGAGTGATTATTCTCTTACAGCTGATAACCTACAAAATCTGATTGAATCAGTAAGTGTTGTAAATAAAACATTGACTTGGCATTCGATAGATTTGAATAATATTAACCTGTCTTCGATCAGTGGTAAAACATTAGCTTGCCTTATTAAGATTTCTCCAGACCTGATCCATATTAACATGAGACATTGCAGTTTATCAGGCAGTATTGTTAATGAAATGATGGAGGAATGTGATAGGATGAATGTAGTATTGAAAGACAACTCGCTTCAACTGCAGGGCAATGACCTTTCAGATATTGATGGTAAGTCACTTGCAGAGTTCATCAGGGCATACGCGGTACCTTTTTTCCTTGGTCATAAAGGTACTTTCCAATGGAGTGATTATTCTCTTACAGCTGATAACCTACAAAATCTGATTGAATCAGTAAGTGTTGTAAATAAAACATTGACTTGGCAGTGGATAGATTTGAGTAATATTAACCTGTCTTCGATCAGTGGTAAAACATTAGCTTGCCTTATTAAGATCTCTCCAGACCTGATCCGTATTGACATGAGTTATTCCAGTTTATCAGGCAGTATTGTTAATGAAATGATGGAGGAATGTGGTAGGATGAATGTAGTATTGAAAGACGGCTTGCTTCATCTGGAGGGCAATGACCTTTCAGATATTGATGGTTTGTCACTTGTTGGGGTTTTATCACCCTAATTATGATGGTGGTGATGATGATGCTGATGAAACTTTCAGTTGGAGTAATTATTTGATAACCTTGAAAAGCTGGTTGATTCAGTAGGTGAAAATATGACATTCAATTGGCAAGGATAGATTTGAGTGATATTAACGCATCTTCAATTTGTGGTAATACATTAGCTTGCCTTGTTAAAATCTCTCCAGACTTGATCTATATTCTATTCAATTCAATTCAACAAAACATTTATTTTCTTCCAAAGGCACTTAAAAATACAAAATTACAAATACAAAATACAAAAATTGGAAGAAGGCCAGGTCCCGAGAAGTTGTTTGCAAAAACAAACATCTTGTGATGGGCAGGCCTGAAAAAAAATATATAATAAATTAAATAAATAAATAAATAAATAAAAAGATATAAATATATGTAGAAAAAAGAAGAGAAAGCAGCTCAAAACAAAACAGCACGACGAATTTCAACCTCAGAAAGTTTAACAATTTGAGATTAAGTGTTTTTTCAGTTTATTAGAAAAGGCTCTGGCAGAAACAGCATCGGTAATTGAGAATGGTAGATTGTTCCAAATAGAGGGGCCCGTATATCTAATGTTATGTTGGAAATAGTTTGTGTTGTGATAAGGGATGTGAATATCAGTTCTAGAACGCGTATAATAATTGTGAAAAGAGAAATTAGACATAAACATGTTACTTAAATGCTTGGGAAGGATCGAATGCATGGCAGAGTATACAAATATACTTTGCTGGATTAAATTAATATCGTATAATTTCAGAAAATTTAAATTGGAAAACAAATGGGAAGAAAGAGATTGTGGGGGAGAGCCAGATATGATCCTGATAGCCTTTTTTTTTTAAAGAATTTGAAGTTTGTTGATGTTAGATGGATATGTATTGCCCTAAAAAATGTTGCAGTAGTTCAAGTAAGGAAGAATGAGAGAGCAGTAGAGAATACGAAGAACATTACAGGGAATAAAGGAAGAGAGTCTAGAAATTATGCCAAAGCTTTTGGAAATTTTACTCTCAACTTCACATATGTGAACTTTCCATGCGAGTCCACTGTCTAAGTGTACTCCTAAAATTTTGCAGATTGAACAGAAGGTATTTCGTGAATGTCAATCAATATTTTGTATGCTGAAATGTCGATATTTTTTAGCCTTTTGGGGGTCCCAAACAGGATATTGACATGAGTCATTGTAGTCAAGGCAGTATTGTTAATGAAATGTTGGAGGAATGTGGTAGGATGAATATAGCATTGAAAGAGGGCATGCTTAGACTGGTGGGTAATGACCTTTCCAGATATTGATGTAAAATCAGTTCCTGCGCTAGTAAAGGATAATATACCGTAAAACCTCGAATTGAAGCCCAATGTGCCTAATCTCGAGAAGAAGACCATCTCGAATTGAAGCCCTCTTTAGTTTCCAAAACTAGTCTCAAAAAGAAGCCCACCTCGAAAATAAGCCCATGGGCTTCTTTTTGAGATGTAACAGTGCATACACTGTATACAGTATATACACATTTCAAAGAAACAAAATAAATTAAAATCACGCTGGTTTATAGGCCTACAGTAGCTTAGGTGATTTAATGCCGGTTAATACACTTAATTTTAGGGGAGGCCTGGCCCCACCCCCTAAACTTTTAACAATTTAACACAAATTGAGAAAAAAAAAATTCTACTCAACTTTAAGTCTAAGAATGACATTTCTGAACGTACAGAGGTGCCATAATCATAAATTTTCTTTAGCATTATGGGGCTGAGGTAGATAAACCGTCCATCTGTGAAAGCCCTTCTCTTGGTTACCTCTTTAAAATTCCTGGATCTGCCACTGTAAACTTTGATACCTGTATGTTATGAATCTTTTCAGCACGTTTGTATAAAAGGAAGGATAGCTTTTATACTTTTCATGTTTCTATACTTTTTCTCATGACCTGTTGAAATTATGCACTCTATGATTGATTAAATTAGTCCGTCCTCTAATCCGTTAAAAGGCCTTACCTTCTGGTGGGTGGGGGAAGCCACCAGGGATCTGCCCCTCGATCCCGCTGGGACCTCCAGCCAACGGGCCAAGGCAGCGCATATGGCCCGCGGCCCTGAATGTGAGTACAGTATATTAAAACCCCTCTTTTGCGGCAACCCTACACTCGGGACACTGCACCAACTCCAATTAAGGGAACACCCAATTAAGAGGAGGACTATCAGTATAATTGTCTAAATAATTTCCAGTTTTGTCAAAATTTGCCCTTTACTTATTGGAATGATTGTTCTTTGTTTCATAAAAAATATGCATTCATCCAGGATTTGAATGATAGCGTGAACCCTGATTTCTAAATCATGCTCTCTTCATGCTTTTCTTTGGACATCATTTTCTTCTTATTTTTACACACATTTCAAATCTACAGAATTATTACTGTACAGCAGTGTATTACTGATACTGTATTATAAAGGTATCCTCCCACTTGGTCGAAATCCAGTTTGTCGAAATCCGGTTTGCCAAATTTAGCCAACTTTGCCGAAAACCCAGTTTGCCGAATCCAGTTCACTGAAAACATAAAATCCCAGTTTGCCGAAATCCGGTTTGCCAAACCCAGATTGCCGAATTTGAATTTTGTCGTCATCGTCGTACAAAAGCGCAGCACGCTACTTTTTGAAATAAAATGTAATAAACAGCAATTATGTAGGCGAAATCGAATGTAAACTCAGACTGAACTATTTTGAACTAAATGTAATAACGGTAATAATTGTAGGCAAAACCGAATGTAAACTCAGACTTAACAACCACAAAAAAATAGTTAAAACCATCACACTACACTTTTGCTTTATGCGTTTTATTACTGTAATATATATATATATATATATATATAT